TGAATGTACACACAGGCCACTCGTAAATCAGCACAGAAATGTGGATATGTTAATACCCTGAAGGTGAGCCTTGACTTAAGGAGACAAGAGCCAGTGAACAATTGCTCCATTTCTCAAACATTCCAAGGAAAATGTCTGATATTCCTTCTCCCCGGATTTTCATAAGGTTCTCAATGAATGCATAGTTATTTATTGTAGATTAAAAATTATCCCCACAATCTAATGGCTGAAAACAATAAGCAATTACAGATACTCCTCAGCTTAAATAGGGTTGCATCCTGATAAACCCATTACATTGAAAATATCGTAAGTTAAAAATACATTTAACATGCCTAAACTACTCAACATCATAATTTAGGCGAATATACCTTAAATGTGCTCAGAACACTTACATTAGTCTACAGTTGGACAATTATCTTGAATTTGATCATAAGAGTAATTACTTCCCTTTCCTAACTGGAAGCTTGAGACACAGATGGGCATTATATAGACATAATGGGATGTGAAAACAAAGCACAATATCCAAAAACTCTGGCAGCACATCACACTGTTGAGTATTCATTATTTATCCTCGTGACAGTGTGTCAGACTGCAAGCTTTACCTTAGTACTGCTGCATAGCATCACAAGAGAGTATCATATATATCACTAGCCCAGGAAAAGATCAAAATTCAAAATTTGAAAGCACAATTTCTGCTAAATGTGTATTACTTTGGCACCACTGTAAAGTTGAAAAATCATAAGTCTAACCATCACAAGTTGGGGACTGCCTGTAGTCTTTCAGTTTCTGTAGTTCAGGAGTGCAAGAGAGGCTTACCTGGGTGATTCTAGCACAGAATCTTTTATTAGGTTGCACCCAAGATGTTAGCTGGGTTATAGTCATATGAAAACCTACACAGGGCTAAAAGATCTGCAAAGTTCACCCTGGCTGTCGGTCAGGGGCTTTATTTCTTCCTCACGGGGCCCTCTCCATAGTGTCCCTTATCTTCATGACATGGCAGCTGGCTTGTCTGAAAGAATCAAAGAGAGAAGAAAAGGAAGTCACACATCGACCATATTCTACGCATTAGCAGTGAATCACTAAGTACAACTTACACTCCAATAAGAGAAGAATTAGGCTTTTGAAACATACTGAAGAGTTTTAAAACCATTATAGTGGAACTAAGTGAGTCCCAGGTACACATAGTGGCAAAGATAAATATTGCATTCCTAATTGAGTCTTTCTTCTTCCCTGTCCCTTCACTCCTTCTCCCACTCCTTCACTTTGGCTTATTTTTTATCCCCGCCCAAATAAACAACTTGTATTCATGTTTCATATCTCAGTTTCCTGGCATATAAAATATTCCAAACCAAAACAGCTTAGCACTCTGAAATTTAAATACTCTCAAGATCAAAATTTAAAGCAAAGTTTTATTGAAACATGAAATTATATCTTAAAAAAATAATTCCTTTTGAGATGCCTAATCATGGAGACAGTTGTGGTTATTATCACTTCCCTTTTATTTAAATTATTTTGCTTGTCCTTACATAGTTTCAACAGCTATTTAGACAATATTCCAATTTGTAAAGTAATCTAAAGAAACTTAGATTTATGTTAAAAAATTGTCTTCTGAGACTATTCTCTTAATGTGCATGCAAAATTAAACTAATAATAGAATTACTTGGGATAAAAGTAAAAATGTTAAATTAAAAATGGCCTTTAACATACATAATTTAGGCAATGTTAATAAAAGTACTTATTTTACATATTAATTAGGATCCTACTTTATGCAATTTACTTAAGGCTATAATACAATTAAATTACACATTTGAAAATACATATACTAATTTAGATTCCAATGAGCTTAAAATACCTGTGTTTTTAAAGATTTAGAAGTTATAATGAGAGCATTTGAATAATCCAGAACAGAGTGGGACAAGAAACATAATGTGATATCATGTTTAGAACAGATAATCAAGGCCATTCTGGTCGGGTCATTAGTTCTGCCTGCTCACTAGGATATTTCCAATTTATCAATTCAGTGTCCCTGTTGTGTTGCCCAGGGAACTGGCAGTTTACAAAATGGAAATATTTATAGTAACAGTAAGAGAAAATAAAAAGTCAGTGTTGCAAATTCATAGCCATTCACATGAATGTAAGTATAAGTAAACACATTTGGGTTCTATGACCTAGATCAGGTACATGACCATTTCAGTTCCAGTTTATCTGGTATGTCATTCAGAACATGGAAGAGATCAGATTACAATGATATGGAAGATATAAATAATTTGGCTACTATCTGAAAGTAAACCAAAATTCTAGAAGGTGTGAATTTTTGACTAAAATATAAGCAAATAAATAAAATTAAGTAGAAGTTATGTTCAAGGTGTGTGGAATCCTAATTGGAGACTCCTACTCACAACTAACTGTGATCAGTTACCAAAAAAGGGTGCATCTTATATTCAGAGGGATAAACATTTCATGTTTTGATATATTCCAGAGTAAATAAAATCATGTACAGTTGTAGTCACTAATTATTAAAAGAATAAGTAAATAGATTATTAAAAAAGAACTGGGAGGGCTCTGAAACTGTGCAAAGTGACAATACATATGTGATATTTTTATCTATTCTAATTGAGAATTATTAGCTTCAGAAAAGATTCTAATAATAAATAAACACTTTATCTTCTGAGCATTTAAAGATGGTATTTTAATGTTGATGCAACTGAAAGAAGTAAGTTATAATGCAGTTCCTTCCTTAACAGTTATGAAACTACATCCTACTACATAATGCTATCAAATTTGGGCAAATGAAATATTAGAGATTGCAACTAAATTCCTTTTTAAACTGGAAAGTAAAAATTTCAAAGTCACGTAAGAGTTTAGTGAATGTGTGTCTGTTGAATTAAGTCTCAATTTCAACACCTCAACTGAAAAGAAAAAGATTTCTGAATAAAATTGTGTGGGATGGAAATTCAGTCTGAATACTACCCAATCTTTCTCATCCTAATTGTAGGATATCAGACACTATTTTTGTTTAATAAGTTGTTTTGTAGACTTTTTTATGTGCCTTATAATTTAACTTGACAAATACCCCAAATGGTAATTTTGGTGTAGGTAATCCATAGAGAATTCTGTATTCAAGACTTATAAGAGATAGATTATGCTTTACTGTTTTTATTAAAGAAAAATAAATATTATGGAAAAGAAATACCACAATGTTGATCTTCAGTCTAGAGGAGGGTTTGCAGGTACAGTTGGTGGAAGGGGTGGTGACCATTCCAGTGGTTACAGGAATGTATCTAGGTGAAGTTGTCAACAAAATAACTACAAACCACATTAAACGATTCCATTTGCAATTGACTTCCAACAGGTGAAAAAGCAATACTTGCCATTTGAGTAATCATTTAAGGGTGGCTCCTACAACCTGCTAATAGCAGGGGGTTTTTTTTAACTTTTTAAAATTGTTGTTCAATTACAGTTGTCTCCATTTTCCTCCCAGCACTGCCTGCCACCCCACCATCCCTGCTTCCCACCCTTTATCCCTGCCCCCCTTTAGTTTTGTCTGTGTGTCCCTTATAGAGGACACATGGACTGCTAGTAGCAGTTTAAAGTATTTTTTTTGCATCAAGTACTCAAATGGAAGTATGAGGTTGGATTTATCTGGTTTTATTCTGAGTTCTAATTAAAATAAATTTGCTACAACATTTGTTTTTAATTGCTATCCATCAGAATCTATTTGTGTTTCATGTCCCTTCCCTCAGTACAGTAGATAAGTCTGTGTTAAAATCCCAATGTAAGAGTTTCATGATTTAGTAGTATCTCACTAGTTTGTCTTAAAGACTAATTTTTAGCAGTTTTAGGTTCACAACACCATTGAGAGGACAGTGCAGAGATTTCTCATACACCTCCTGCCCCCACATATGCACAGCCTCCACCATTATTGACATCACTCTCCAGAACAGCACATTTGTTACCAAAACGAACCTACGTTGACACATCATAATCATCCAAAGATTGTAACATGCCTCAGTGCTTACTCTTGGTGTTGTTCACTCTATGGATTTGGACATATGTATAATGACATATATACTCATCATAATATCATACAGAATATTTTCACTGCCCTAAAAAATATGTGCTCTGACTTTTCATCCCCCCTCCCTCTTTCCCCTGACAACCAGTGATCTTTTTGCTGTATTCATAGTTTTGCCTTTTCTAGAATGTCCTATAATTGAAACCGTATAGTATTTAGCCTTTTCAGATTAACTCCTTTCACTTAGTAACATACATTTAAGGTTTCTCCATGTCTTTTAATGGCTTGATAACTCATTAATTTTTAGCATTAATACTAAAAATGTCTTTAGTAATGTGGCAATAAAGTGTGGGCCCAGAGAAAATAAGGAGAGGAAGCATGTGAGCATGTGCACACATTAATGTCATTCTTTTATTCATTTCCTAGAGATGACATAACAAATTACCACAAATTCAGTGGCTAAAAACAATTTTTTTTGGTGACAGTTGTAGAGAGCAAAAATCCAAAATTAAGCTATCAGGAAAGCCACACTTCTTTGAAGGTGCTAAGGGAGGATCCAACCTTTCCTCTTCCAGCTTCTGGAAGCTCTAGATATCCCTTGGCTTGGGGCTGCATGACACCAATTTCTAGCTGCTTCTTTGCATGGCCTTTTCTCCTGTGTATCTCTGTGTCTCATCTTACAATAAGAGCACTTACCTTTTGATTTAGGACTAACTCATCATGTATTCAGGGATGATAGTGTCTCATGATCCCTAACTTAGTTACATCTGCAAAGGTGAGGTAGCTTTAATTTCAATGAAATTAAATATCAAGTAAATGCTAGTGAACTAAAAATGCTGGTGAATATAAACTAAATTATCTCTCACGTATCAACTGTAATAAATGACTATTTCTTGTGTTTAATGTTATTCTTAATTTGGTGAATATGAACTCTACAATACAAATTCATCAATATTTTTCACTTTTCTTTCTTAGAGGTCTTCCTGGATTTTCTGGTCAATTTTGTGAAATTAATATAAATAAATGTTTTTTATCATCACATCTAAATGGTACAAACTGTGAAGATCACAACAATGGATATATTTGCAAATGTGAACAAGGTAATTATTGAAAATATAATAGCCATGCATCCTATATATATGTATATATTTTTTTACAAAATATATGTTTATATATGTGTTCATGTACTTATGTATAATACTATTTGACAATCCACTCACCAATAATGCTGTTGAATATCAACCAATATCTAAGTAAATATCACACTTAGAAAACATAAACATGAAATGGAAGTTCTGTGAACCAGTAAGCAATCACTTGGACTACCATCAGGAAATCCTAATATTTAGAGTATGAAATCTTACTACAGGTATTTTCTAAATTAAGTAAACTTCACCTCCCTGATTTTTATTTGTATCAATTGTGCCTAGGACACAAGGAGTCCTTAATAAATGTTAGCACTTAATAATATTTACATTATTGTTATGTACAATGATTGTTAGTACAGAGATGGGCAAGCAGAGTAAACTGATTTTATCCAAGGAATAATTATTTATTAATAAGTTGTCTTTTGGGCCATTTCTGCCTTTTGTCATATTCTCTTTAACCATAAACTGGTATAAAAAAGTCATATTCTCTTTAACCATAAACTGGTTCACGCATCTTTTTTTCCTACATTTCTTCTTGATTTCTAACTTTTAAGCCATATTGTTTTCTTCCTCTGTCTTCCACTTCACTCATCTCATTTTTAGCATTCTGTTGCACCCACCAAATTAGGGTGTAGCTTTCAGAAATCTCTCAATAATCTCTCAGAAATACATGTGAGGGTATTTCTGGTCACTAAGAAAAAAATTCTCACTACTTACAGACCCCGCAAAAGACTTGAGAAGCTTGCTAATGCCTCAGGTTCTGGGCTTCTAGTTATTTGGATCTCCTGGGGGAGTAACAATGAGGAAGTCTGGAGACACACAAAAACACACACTTTCCTCCCACATTTTAAGTTCATTTAGCTCAGTTACAATCAAATTAAAAGAGATTAACAAGAGAAAATGTCTAAGGTTTATAATTACTGATATGTATGCCATGGATGTCATAAGATGAGACCAGAAACCCATTGGACAGTTGAGGCTTATATGCCATTTTGGACAAAGGAGAAGGCCCCAAGGATCTGAGAGTCCAAATGGGAAATAGGTCCAGTAATTCCCAGAAAAGAGGTAGTGTAGACATATGGTAAACAAATTCTTGTGTTATTTAAAAACAGTGGGACACAGAGGGCAGGCTTTTCTAGATTTCTTCCTGTCTACCACATATGTGCTAATTCATACATGCTGAAGATAAATATGCTAAGGTGATTATACTAAGGTTTCCTTCCAGAAGCAGGTTTTTAGGCAAGAAAGGAGGAGGGTCAAAGGTTCTTTCTGAGTCTTTTGTTTCTTAAAAAACAGTTTAAAATCAATATCTCAAAACATACATTTGTGGTAGCAAAACTTTGGTTCCTTTCAGCAGACCTAGGACCTTATGGCTCCTATTGTTTATGTGATGATGTACAAATTATTGATTGAGTACCGGCAACATGCTGTTTCCAAGTTCTCATTCCACAACATTCACAATGTCTCCTGTATTTTGTCATGCTCAGTACTGACACTGTGTCTGATCTGGTCAGACAGATTATTGAGAGACATTTGCTCCTACATTTTGAAATAGCCACCAATACATAAAACTGTAACTCTTGCAGATAAAAGAAGTGGAATAGAGATGATAATTTCTGATATAGGAAATAAATATAATTTTGAAAGTTTTTCCTCTTTTAAGCAAAAATGTTTTTATTGAGGTCTGAATATTTAAAATGCTATGAAAGCTACAATAAGCAATGAATGCAGGGTGGGGCAAAAGTAGGTTTATAGTTATGAGTACACAAAACATACTATTTATTCTTGTATTATTATTTATCAATTACCATACATTTACTTGTATTATAACTGTAAACCTACTTTTGCCCCACCCTGTATATTTTTTTTTTAAATAAAGAATCAAAACAAGTATATCAATAATTTTACTATTACAATACATATCTTATATTGCTGATTTCATTTTTATGTTATTATATTTACATCGCAAAATTAGTTCTGATGTTCCAGGTTATGAACCCCTTATTTTAGATCTATTTGGAAACATGGAGCCATCTGAAGCAGTTGCATGCAGTCCTCTGATGGGGCCCCTTCTGAATGCTGCTCATCGTCCATAGAGGACATGAAGAGCCTCAAAAATGACCCCCATCTGTGTTGTTAGGTGCTGCTAAGTACATTCTGGTATTTTTCACTTAAGACTTAGATTCTTCACACCCTAGTCCCAAGAGCAACAACCGAATAAGCAGTAAACCAAAAAGAAATTTTTTTTGAAAATGCTCTGGGCTCCCTTCCAGACCTGCTCCCAGGCACTCTCTACTGCCAGCCCATCCTTCCTCTGAAGTTATTTAGGGAATAATTTTGATCTGGCAGGTTACCCTTTATCCCTTCCTATTTTATTTTATTATTTTATTGTTGCTCAATTACAGTTGTCTGTATTTTCTCCCCACCCCTCACCACAACCACCTCCAAACCCACCTCCCTCCCTTGCTTCCACCCTCCTCCTTGGTTTTGTCCATGTGTCCTTTATAGTAGTTCCTTACTAACCCATTTTCTTTATTAGAATAGTTGGCTATTATTTTTCAAGGTTTTAAAAATGCATACTGTAAAATTCATTCTTTGTTATAAAGTTCTGTAGTTTTGACAATCGTGTAAAACACTTGAGTAAGCACCACCACAGCCAGTCATGTAACCACCAGTGCCAAACTGTACTCCTGCTCCCCCTGTGTAGTCGGTTCTTTCCTCATCCCCAACATGTATTGATTTTTATATAATTCTACTTTTTCATTATCATCTTTGTCCTTGGAAATTCTACCTGCTGTTCAGTAGTTCTTTCTCTTGTCTTCTGAATTTTTAGATTTTGAGTGCCAAATGTGAAAAAGGTATTATTATCTCACTTTACCAATGAGGATCTGTAGTCTCAGAGTCTTCGGATAATCTTCCACAGCACATTAGGCAAAATTCATATTTATAACCAGCATTTCTGAGCTAGTACTGTACATTTTTCATTTCTTATGTTCCCCACAGATGGGCCTTCCCTGAAGAAAAACTTTTCACAAAGTTTCAGTTATACTGGATGAGTAAGTTCTAGAGATCACTGTACACCATTATGCTTATAATTAATAATAGTGTATTGTACACTTAAAAAGTTGTTTAAAAATAGATATCATGTTAAATATTTTGCTAGAAAAAACAAAATTGAGAGCCGTTTTACAAAAAGTGACTTGACCAATACGACCCATCAGTGTGTTGCATTAGTCTGGATGTTACCAATTCTAACCACTTCCTCACTAGCTTTATCTGCAAAACACAATTGAAATTTAAACTGGATATAAGTAAGCTAGAAGATATTCTACATCTTATCTAATTTCATACCATCAAACCCTATCCAGGGAGTTGTATTCTAATGTATCCTCACAAATTGCTTAGCATGTACTGAAAAATGCAATTCATTTATGATGCTGGCCAATGTTGTATAATCACAGACAGGGCTATAGTTTGCGGAAAGTCATCCCCCTCTTTAGGAGCAGACAAATTAGATGATTATACCCTTTCCTCCAAGCTAACAAGGTATGGCGCTGGGCAAGCAGAGCACATGTTGGATCCCAGATCTCAATGATCCTCTGCAGGAGATCTTCACACAGGATGCAACCTCCACAGCATTTGGTTCAGCCCTAATTACAGAGCTTGTCCTCTGCCTTTACAGTGAATAAATGGCTACTGAACTCGTTTCCACTGAAGTATCAATACAAGCGTTCAGAGTATTATACAAAATAAAATGCACTTACTTTTGTGTTAACCCAAATAGTTCCATTTATAGTGTTACATAAACATGTTTAACACTCAATAAGTGAAACCACAGTTTATCCCATTATGAGCAGATTGAAAGAGGAGTTAACAATTTCTGCACTGCAAATGTGCATACTTCATCCTGAGCTGTTCTCAATCCCTGGGGCAGTCACTATGCCCACTTTTTTATACTCCAGAGGAGTGGAATAGTGTTTGTATAGGTGATAATATGAAGTATAGATACATTTTTTGCTCTTAAAATAGCATTACTCATTTTGGAGCATAAATGCTGCATTGTCCGAAGGTCAAGGAAGCAGAGAAACAGGTAATATCTGCTAGGGCTGCTCGCAATTGTTAAGTCATGGATAGAGCTTTTGTATTTAGAACAGAAAAGATACAGAGTGATTTTTCTTTTTAATAAAGACCCATGAAAAGTGAAATAATTTTTACTATGAAATAAAAAGTCTATACTAATGTATTTTCATGAAGATTTAGTTGTAAAAATCAATTTTTCTATATAGTCTACAGCTAGACTAAACCCAATAAAATAATTTTAATTCATGTTATCCAACTATTGGTAATATATTAGCAAGAAGAACAGAATTATTTTAGGTTTGGTTTTATTTTATTTTCCTCAGATTAGATGGGAATTGGTGGTAAGAGGGAAAATAAAAGGAAAGTAAAACATAAATTTTGAAAATAGTGACTTTTATTTTCATTAACTCAAACTACTAACTGCTGTATTATAGCACAGAATGGTGGTATTAAAACCTGTCAGTGTTTTTAGTCGAGTGTATTGATGTACTTAACGATTTATTTATCAACTTAAAAATTAGTCTAATTTGTTATTTTTATTAGTAATATAATTTGATACCTAATGTCTTCTTTATTTTATACCTGCATTTGGCTTATTTATTTTTAATCACTGAACAGTATTTTCTAAGTATCTGATTACCTTATTATAGATGTTTCCTTTCTCTCTGCTTTTGAACCTTTAAAACAAAAAAATCTTAACTGTTGGATTTTCATTTAGCTGTTTTTTATTCCTTTATTTTGTCCCCATTTATATTTTTTAAATTTTATGTATTTATTTATTTTAGAGAGAGGTGAAGGGAGGGAGAAAGAGAGGAAGATAAACATCAATTGGTTGCCTCCCACATGCCCCCAACTGCAGGCCTAGCCCACAACCCAGGCATGTGCCCTGACGAGAAACTGAATCATCCACACTTCAGTTCACAGGATGATGCTCAGCCCACTGAGTCACACCAGCAAGGGCTGTTCCCATTTCTTACTATCAGCTTGCCCACAACAGCACAAGGACATTTATCTTACTTATTTATTTTTAAGGGTACTATTAGCACTCAACATCCATTCCTATCTATTGTGGTTTCTCTACTACAGAAACAAAAAAAAAATTTTAAAAACTAGAAAATCTAGTTCCCTTTAAGCTGTAGTTGTGGCTATACTTGAGTTTCACCAATAATAAACATATCTAAAATCTGGAGTATCTGGCAGAGTTCATTTAAAGGTGTGGTAGCTGTTTCTTCCGGTGAAGAAGGTCATGGACATGTAGGATTTTCTGCTGCAGATATCATTATCGAGTCACTGACTTTGTACTAGAAAGCACTGGTGGTGGCAGGCAAGGCAGTTGCACTGCAGCCCTGCATTAGTCACCTGCCTCAGAGTAGGGAGAGGCAGCTGGGGACGTTGTGGTGGCAGCTTCCTGGTAATCCTGCTTCCCTAGGTAAATGCAATGGGTTCTGGAACTCAATAATTTTAATGGTGGCTTTTGTATATCTCACTGCCCTGGGAGAGCATTCTCATAGTCATATCTGTGGTTCTTGAAGTTATTTCCACAGTCTTTTAATAACTTTGTAAGCATCATGTTCTCTGTTATTAAAGCCCCTTTCCTTAAACACATAGAGGGGTTTCTGTTTTCCATGCTGAACCCTGACTATATTTTTTTTTGGTGGGTATCACTTACTTTTAAAAGATATTTTATGGATTATGCTATTACAGTTGTCTTATCCCCCCCACCCTTTATTCCCCTTTGTTCTGCACACCCCGTCCCACCCACATTCCCCCCATTTAGTTCATGTCTATGGATCATACTTCTAAGTTCTTTGGCTTCTACATTTCCTATACTATTCTTAACCTACCCCTATCTATTTTCTATCTACCATTTATGCTATTTATTCTCTGTACCTTTTGCCCCTCTCCTCCTTTCCCACTCCCCTGCTGATAACCCTCCATGTGATCTCCATTTCTGTGATTCTCTTCCTGTTCTAGTTGTTTGTTTAGTTTATTTTTGTTTTTGTTTTAGGTGTGGTTGTTAATAAGTATGAGTTTGCTGTCATTTTACAGTTCATATTTTTTATCTTCTTTTTCTTAGATAAATCCCTTTAACATTTCATATAATAAGGTCTTGGTGATGATGAACTCCTTTAACTTGACCTTATCTGAGAAGCACTTTATCTGCCCTTCCATTCTAAATGAAAGCTTTCCTAGATAGAACAATCTTGGATGTAGGTCCTTGCCTTTCATGACTTGGAATACTTCTGTCCAGCCCCTTCTTGCCTGCAAGGTATCTTTTGAGAAATCAGCTGACTGTCTTATGGGAACTCCTTTGTATATAACTGTCTCTTTTTCTCTTGCTGCTTTGAAGATTCTCTCCTTATCTTTAATCTTGGCTAATATAATTATGACGTGCCTTAGTGTGTTATTCCTTGGGTCTAACTTCTTTGGGTCTCTCTGAGCTTCCTGGACTTCCTGAAAGTCTGTTTCTTTTGCCAGATTGGGGAAGTTCTCCTTCATTATTTGTTCAAATAACTTTTCAATTTCTTCTTCCTCTTCTCCTTCTGGTACCCCTATAATTCAGATGTTAGAATGTTTAAAGATGTCCTGGAGGTTCCTAAGCCTCTCCTCATTTTTTTTTAATTCTTGTTTCTTCATTCTTTTCTGGTTGAATGTTTCTTTCTTCATTCTGGTCCACACCATTGATCTGAGTCCCAGTTTCCTTCCAGTCCCTGTTGGTTCCCTGTACATTTTCCTTTATTTCACTTAGCATAGCATTCATTTTTCATATAATTTGTGACCATATTCAACCAAATTGTGAGCATCCTGATTACCAGTGTTTTGAACTGTGCATCTGATAAGTTGGCTATTTCTTCGCCACTTAGCTGTATTTTTTCTGGAGCTTTGATCTGTTCTTTCATTTGGGCCATTTTTTTTTTGTCATGGCGCACCTGTTCCGTAGTAAGCGGGGGTGGGGGGGGGGCCTTAGGTTTTTACCAAGGTGGGGCAACCCACAGAGGTTGCATTGTGACTCTGTATGTGGGGGAGGGGTCCAAGAGGGAACAATGGCACTTGCTCCGCTCTCTGCCAGTTTTCAGTCACTTCCCCCACTTCCCACAATCAAATCAGGCCCTTCTAGTGCTGATTCCCGGTGGGTGGGCTTGTGTACATTCTAGGACCCTGTGGGTCTCTCCAACAAACTCTCCTGTGAGGCTGGGAGTTTCTCCCACTGCCGCCTCAACCCCCACAGGTATTTTCAATCAGAGGTTTGAGGCTTTATTTCCCAGAGCTGGAGCCCTGGGTTGCATGGTCTGTCTTGCTTCCCAGTTTCGCCTGGTTTATCTGCTCGTGAATGTGGGGCCAGCCCAGTCCTCCAGCCACCACCTTGCCGCGAATCCTCTTTGCTTAGCTGCCCATCTCCACCCCTCCTACCAGTCTGGATGAATGTTTTTTCTTTAACTTCTTAGTTGTTGGACTTCCATACAGTTCGATTTTTTTGTCAGTTCTGGTTGTTTTTTGTTTTTAAATTATTATTGTCCTTCTTTTGGTTGTATAAGGAGGCATAGTGTGTCTACCTTCACCTCCATCTTGGCCAGAAGTCTGACTAAATTACTTTTTTATCCTAGTCTGTTGTTTTTGACCAAAGCAGCCTTATTTTTTACTGTATCTTAGCTAAGCCTTAGATAGGATTCTTCACAACTCTAGGCCTCTGACCTCCAGCATTTACTTTAGGAAATATGTGATTGTAATTTTTTCTCTGCTCCTTTGAGATGTGAGCCTTCTTGCCACCTCTTGACAATTCCAAAGCCCAGAAATGTCTTTGTCAAGGAACTGGGTCCATCCCTTTGAAATGCAGTCATAGGAGATAGGAGATAGTCATAGGAGAAGCTGCCTCACTCTCCCAATCTCTGTGGAAGAGTAGAAGCCTAATGTCACTAAGTGACAATTAACAAACACAGATGGCCTAAGCACATTGGCCTACCCCTCCCAGTCCAGCATCCTCCAGTACCTTTCCAGTAGCTCACCCCAGCATTTAAATGCCCTCCCACCTTTGGTTCAGAAGTTGAGTTCATTCAGTCTCTCACCCCTGTTTGGATAGCCTCTTTCTCTCTTATTATAATACTGTTTAAAAAGAGAAGTTATCTTTCCCCTTTTTAAATGGTATGGTGAATATTTTTTTTCTTTCACAGTTCCTATCTTATGGTTTAGTTTTGTAATGTCCTTTATAGTATTTGAAGCAAGAAGGAAACTACATTATTATTTTTAATTATTTAAAATATACTGTGAAATCTTTTATTCAATCAAAAAATATATAATTAATGTAGATTTGTTACATAAAATAATATAATAACCCTTCCTGTACCTACAATTTACCTTAAAGAATATTAGCAGTAATTTCAGGCTCCTCTGTATCCCTGCCTGAGCACATTATTACCCCCCAACTCTGCACTAACTATTCTGAATTTTATATTCAACATTCTCTTAGAATCCCTTAGAGTTTTATTTTATACATATGTAGCTCTAAGTGATGTTATTAAATTTGTATGTATTTCACTTTTATAAGAATACTTATCAAATATATTTTTATGGAATATGCTTTTATATTCAACTATATGTTTGTGAGATTCAACCATGTTAATGACTGGTCCTACTGATGTTTCATAAGCCCTGCAAAACCATTTCTTCTGTAACACCTTTTATAGTAGAGATGGCTACACAGTCATCTTAGCACATGAAAGAGCATTACAAAGTGGAAAGAGTCTTGGACAAGCATGTGGTAAACATAGTCTTTTGGCAGCTTCTTCTAAGTTTGATCTGGATGGTGCCAAGTCTTTTAAACTTGTTCTGTATATTTTTATAATGCAGTATTTCATTAAATCATTTCTAAACACCCAGAATACTAATTTAATTTTTCTTGTTCAATTTATCAAGGAAAAATAGTAAGAATATATTGCTAAGTAGGAATAATGATATTTTTATTTTATAGAACTACAGTCTAAGATGTATTAACTATAAAATGTTACAAGTAAAATATTACAAGAAAATATATACTAGAAATCTGTAGTGATAGCTTTTCTTTGTATTTAAGAATCCTATTAAGGAAGTATGGGACAGTATGGGCTGTGTTTATTCCATTGCCTTCTGTTCATTTATTACCAGATAAAATATGTAAACACATTTGAACAGGTAATGTAGAATGGCACCATAGGTACAAGCTGAAACTTTATTTCATGTATACTTACCTTCATTTCTGTATTTTCAAGGCAAATTATTTATCTTGTCTGAGTTTAAGTTTCTCATCTGTTAAGTACAGATAGTAGTAACTGTATAGAATAATTATGAAGATAAATATGATAATATATATAAATGACCTAGCATAGTTATAAAAAATAGTAAAAGTATATATATATATACACACACACACACATGCAAATATACACACATATACACACACTTATAAACTATCATTATTATTCTTAAAAGTTTAATTTCTGTTTGTGATTGTTTTTAACAGGATGCTCAGGACATCACTGTGAAAAGGGACTTGATGATTGCGTTCCCAGCACACATGTTCAGGAAATATGCATAGAAAATAAATCTGGCTTTGACTTGACATGTTTATGCATACCTGGATTTGTGGTAAAGATTATTATTGTTTTTTGTTATGGAACTTTATATTGTCTTTGAGAGACTGTAAGTAATGCATAGAATATTGTGTGGTGAACAGTAAGGTTGGACAAGTTAACTAAGTGCTCCTCTCCTCCCGGTCTGTACATACTACACTTTTCTCAGCATCCCCTTTCCTCCTTGTCCTTCCCTCACATGAACCCTCCTCAGCCCTTCCCTTGAAGAGGAAACCATTCTCATTAATTGATCCAAACTAAGGTGCAAGTGACCTAATGTATTGTCCTTTAATGTTTTAATGCATTTGGAAGGAGAATGCCAGTAAGGAATTATTCAATATTGTCACAGTCTTGGCAGAACCTCTGTTTTGCCAAAGGACGTAGTGCTGCTTCCTGTGTTGGATTCAGAGTATTGTGAGTCCAGGGAGAATGAATCTGCTTCCTTGGAAAATTTGGACTGGTCTGAACTCCATTAATGTTAGACTAAACAAATTGGTAGATATGTCCCTATTGAACTACAATTATTTTTGCTACAACTCTTTATTAGAGCTGATCATAACACATGAACATAGTAATGGAATACCAATTGGCAATAATGTGATGTCAGGAATTTTGAATATATATTTACTAATATTATTAATAGATAGACTGGTGTTAACACAGATTAAAGCTAAGGAATTAGACAGATAATACAGTCAGATGACTCAGTACATGATTCAGGAATCAAACTTCAAGGGAAGGTGAAGTATGGCCAGTTCCTAAGAAAGATGTGTATGTATGAAAGGAGTGAGACATTCCTCAGAGCTGGAAGAGCAGAAAGGAAAGGTAAGAAGCAAGAGTCTCCAGAGGTGGTTAAGAAATTAAACAGAAAAAATGGTCAATACCTGTCACCTAAACAAAAAAAATTAAGATAGCCTTGACTTAAGTCAGATACTCTTCCCATTGAAGGGTATTCCCAAGGCTCATCTGTCTGATAAAACAAAATTATCATCATCATCTTTCTTTCTCTTAGGGTTCTCCAATCCTGGCTTTCCCTAGGAAAAGATTTTTTTGTTGTTATTGTTTTTTTTCTGTTTTGTTTTGTTTTGTTTTGTTTTTCTATTCGTGGTCTTAGATGATCTTTGAGTGAGAATTTCAGGCACTCTGACATCTCAGTAGGGATGCCAATAAATAATTTTATGACACCTCAGATTATACAATGATGTCTTCCTTAAATTTTCAGGAGAAAGAGAAAAAAGCAGAAATATATCCTTCATTTAACTGTATTCTCTTACTAATGAAGCCTGATATATAAAAATATAAATAATTAGATTTATAGTTATACAAGTAATTATAAACAAATGATGATTTTTACATGTTTTTGTTAAACACAAAAAATTAACTGCCAAATATTCTTAAAACATCTTTAAATAGTTAAACTCCCAGAATGTTTTCTTTTATATAAGCATACAAGTCAATTAACACTCAAATTATCTCTTTTAATATAAAATCAATTCTGAAGGATAAACCCATTAATATGTTAAAAATGTAAAAATCCTGAAAATATAGTTTTATAAAACCACAAGTCTACTAAAAAGAAGAAAGTGTTAAAGATGTAATACATCTATATTTTAGTAATACCTTTAATTAATCTTATATATTAATCACATAAGTAATTAATTTTAAACAGATATTCTTATAGCCACTCTCTCAGGTTCTCAAAAGCTGAAATGAAACTTAAATGCCTACCCTCATAAGAGATGGTGTTCAGGTAAAAAGCTGCAATAAGAAAGGAAGATTCTACTCTTGTTAATTCATTGGTTATATCCTAAAATGAGTAGATAAAGCTGAAGAAAATTTAGTTTATTAAAAAAGAATTTAACATTTAAATGTTATTCATATCAATGTTATAATAGTATACAGACATTTAAAATCAGATATACCCTTAAAAAGGCATGCATATTATTAATTGGAATAAGAAGCCAAATATTTTGATGAAATATTAAAAAATTAAGAAAGTGTTCAATGTGTCTTTGTTTAAATGATAGAAATACTAACAAAGCCAAAGGGGGTAGGTTCAAGGGTGGGAGGCGGGGATGGGGGGCAGGGGATGTGGTAGGATGAAAATGAAGACAACTGTATTGAACAACAATAAAAAAACTTCAAATGATAGAAATATTAATAGAGTTTTAGAGTCATGAATATTGAAATAAAGGAATAGAAAAACAAACAGGCATGGCAAATGCATAAAATCACTGAAAAATTGCTTTTTAGATTTCTTTTCTCCTTTCCCCAATAATATTGTGGATAAACAAGATATAAAATAATATGAATAGTCTTATGGTGAAATGTCAAATTTACATTCTTTGAAAATAATGTCATTCACAGAAAGACATAGAATTTGACAGAGGCTTAAAAACAAAGCCATTAGAGGGATTAGAGACAGGGAAATTGCTTGCTTTAGAATTAAGTGTGAAACTTAAGAGTTTAGGTGAACATGAAAACAGTGGGTGTAGGAAACAAATGACAGCTTCTGGAGGGGGTGAGTCATGGCATTCTAGCAACAGAATACATGGGAAGAGTTACAGCATTGCATGAAATTTTCATATTATAATATAATACTTGCTTATTAGTCTACTGCTCTGTCTATTCTGATATATCTTGAGCACCTCAAGAGCAAGGATAATTGTAGTATCCCTTAGAATATAAAAGGTATGTTTTGATTTTGGTCATCTTTGTTAAGACTTTTTATTGAAGTCCTTAGCATATCAATCAGTTATTTTTAATTCCTAATCTGATAATCACAAAATCTCAGACTAACCATACCTGAGTAGAATTTGGGTGCTTTCTCTGTCTCTTCAAACTGTTTTTTTTGTTTTTTAGTATGCCTAGTAATTTTATATTTGTGACCAGACATCATGTGCTGGATAAAAATAACTGAAATAACTAAGCCTTCAGTATGAGACTTTATTTTTATCTTGCTAGGAGTCAGGCCATGTTTACTGTTTGCCCTAGCTACAGGTGTCAGCCTAAAATTTCTTCTAATATCTTTGTTTTGGTCTCCCTGTAATCATTGTGTTTAATTTCAAACTTCTTCTTAAATAGATCTGAGATGTGCAATTCTTTCAATAGTAACCCATGTTATTTTCTTACCCATGTGGGTAAGAAAAGATTGCTTCCATGATTTGAGGTTAGATACAGCTTTTAACAGTCTTATGATTAGAGTTCAGTCGTTCAGAGAGCCTGTACCTCACCTCTGGGCTGTGGCCTTTGCGTGTTCTTCTTATCACCCTTACCCCTTATTTGCAACAAGAAGGCTTCAAGGAGCTGGAATTGGGCGTTTCCTTTCTCCCCCATGAATTAGGCTCTGATAAAATTGTTTCCCTTGAGTCCAGGCCATTTTGTTAAGAACAAAATGCTCCAAGAGTAATTCTTTTTTGTTTGTTTTTTTTCTTAATTTTTTTATTGTTGTTCAGTTACAGTTGTCCCCATTTTTCCCCTATTACTCTCCCCTATCCCCACATTCAATCCTTCCTTCCCACCCTGTTGTCTTTGTCATGGGTCCATGACGTTCCTTGACTTGACCCTTCCCCTGTATTTCAAATGGCTGTTCACTTCCCTGTTGAAAGCCCAAAGTTGATTTTTCTCCTATCTGCACTGTGAGAACCTGCTAGAAGTCCTAGTGATAAAACTTATAAAAATATGTAAAATCCTCTTAGACTGAAAGCCACTTGGAGTTTTTAACTCTCAAGCATGTTCACACTGGTCCCCCAGCATTTTGTCAATTAGGGTGTGTTTCCCTCCCTGGTGCTGGCTCCAGCAATGGTCTCTGTTCCTGAGCTCCCTCCCTGGTAACTCTCTGCATCTGCCTGGCTGCCTCTCCAGTTTAAGTGGGGAGTAATTTGCAATGTAACCTCAGTTCTCTGACAGACCTAAAAAGAATTGTTGATGTGAAGTTTGTTCAGCCTTTTTTATGTTTTTAAGGAAAGGAGAGGTGACTTATAAGCCCCAACCAAAAAACAGAAGTCTTGTGATTGTTTTAAGAGTAAAAGGACCTATAAATGTATTTAATGGGAAAAATAGATAAATTTTCCTTTATTCATAAAATTTAATGTCTTTTTAAAAACTCATTTCCTTATTTAATTTTATTTTTTTATTTTGTGTTCAATTAGAGTTGTCTCAATTTTCCCCCATTACTCTCCCCCACCCCACCCAACCCCCAGTCTCACAGTCAATCCCCACCCTATTGTCCTTTGTACACAGTACATCTTAAATTTACACAAAGTTATGTGATTTATTGCAATAAAGCAGGAAAAGAAATCAAGAGATATTATGTATTCAATAATGTAAAAATTAAATTTTGTCAAGCTGTCATTTCTTTTCCTTAGTTTACTTAAGCTTCTCAGGTATCTCACCTCAAATGATTGTTATATTTTTCAGAGTTGCTAGAAATTTTCATCGAATTGCTTAAAATATGCCAATTTAGCTGGTGATTAGTTCACTAGTATGTAGCAAATAAAAAAATTATAAATTATCTTGCACACAAAATTATTCCAGATGATATAGTGTCACATATAATCTATGTTAAAGGTTAAATCTATGTTATAATCTATGCTTGATATTAAAATATATCAAATATTGGGAATATGCAAGCATTGCATTTCTGATTATAACTTGAAACAATATAAACCATTAAACTTTTTACCAAAATAATTGGTAGTAATTTTCTTCACATTGTTTAAGTTAACCTAAACTTCCCTCCAACATTTTTCTTCCTCAAATAGCTCTTCAGGAAGATGCCACATTCTCTGTATATGCCTTTTATTTAGTGAATTTTTAAAACTCTTCAAATTACATTGCCTTATAAGATTGTTAACTAAACTGCATGTTTATGAAATTAGAAAATATTACTGGGACTATAATTATTCTTTGATAATGAAAAGTCACTTGAGAAGTGAACAGCCCTATTGCATAGGGGGATGGCGATCAATATTTTTCCTTATTTCTGAGAATTAATTTTTGGTAAATAATGTTAAA